TTGCAATGCACATAGACAGACTTTCCTTTAGCAGCAACTGAGTCGATAAACTGCACCGCGGAATCAATCTGTGGTCTTGCTGCAGAGCCGAAGAAATCGGTCATGGGTATTTCGTGCACTTGCACACCAGCATCTCTCCAATCCTTAAACGATAGTTTTTCAACACTGCAACCTATATTGTTCCGGAATGTGAAATGTCAGAAATTTGCATTCGCTTCTAGTGAACCCCCTCACACCCCTCAACATTGTCCTAAACGAATATCTAACTCGTTCGCAGTGGAAGACGACGACGAGGTGCTCTTATCATTTTTGAGCAGTTGCGTCCCTTGTCGTAATAAATTGGGCTCTGGTAATATATTTGCCTGAGGGACGAGAGCACGACTAACCAGAGAGGGATACTAGGTCGAAGTGGCCGTTTGAAATGAGTCCTCCGGCCGAGTACTTTGGACGGTGATTGAGAATCCGCCAACCCCATTTGTAAGGAACCTCATTAAACAACGTTGCGGAATTATTTTGGGGCCATGCTCACGCTCAAAACTAATTTCGGGCGCTAACTTACTTCGAATAAGAGACGATCTACATCAAATTACAATCCAGACCGAATACTTAACTGCTGGGCTACGACGCCACAACAAGCAGCCTCACATCCCACCCCCTCCCCACCGCTGCAAACCCTCCGTAACGTGGTTAAGAGATGTCCACAGCACAGCAGATGAGGAACACGGATTGTAGTCCCAGTTCAGAGCACCGTTAGTCGGCATATATTTCATTGAGGGCCACACCGACCTGCTAATCTTCACTGGTGAGTCAGTGCTCGTTTGTGGCTCTAACCGACGTAGTGATCCTTTTCGCAGGCTGAGCTTGCTTTCACACTTCGCGATTTGATCACGCGAGCAATTCGGTCGCTCTGATCATGCGATCAGGAGCAGGAGAGCTGCATTGTCAAACGTTGCGACCATTGCAACGGCTAATTCAGTAGTATTCAAGAGTGAGTGATGTTCAAGTGGTAGATGGTCGCAGGTTCCGGTCGCACGACCGAAGCGAAGAAATTGCTCGCGATCAAATCGCAAAGAATGAGCTCGCTCCAAGTTTCATCAGCACGCAAACAACTGGAGTAGGCGTAGTCTGGCCTCACCGTGGCTCCTTACCGCATAACCAATTGTACTGACTGGGGCTCGAAGGCCGTTCTGCTGTTTCTCTCTCTCACCTCTTTTCGTATGGCATTATAAGCGTAGTTCAGCTCAAAGTCTTCGACACAACATACTACGCCTCCAACGTTTTCTTTCTGAAATAGAGAATAATAGAATGCAACCGGCTAGCAATTATTCATTACCACCCCATACCACTACTACTTACAGCAACCAAAAAGACTCACCTGTATAAGTTCATCCTGCATAGATTTGAATGGTAATGCTCCTACCAGTAGTACGTCATCAACTCTATTGTACCAGGTCCATTTGCTCGGTTGCAAATAGTTCCGGAGCAAATTATAGCCTAATGATGGATAGAACGCTAAACTGGAGAGCATACCTACAAAGGAAGAGTGATGACAGATCGGAAATTTGAACAAAAAATAAACGATAGAATTGAAAGCATGAACAAAAACCACAGAATACGAAAAACATTGCATTATGCACATTCATATAAACAAATACGCGGAATAGCTAATAAACCACTGAAGAGAAAGGCAGTTGTTAGCGCATATCGTTCTGGCCAAATCATCCTTCTGAATTCGAGATGAGCATTGGCGCTACAACTTCAAGGAATTCTCAGCAATCCGATCACGCCACGAGACTAGAGACGGGGCTGACGGTCTAGGAAAAGTTTAGAACAAATCGCACTCCTACATTATGGTAAAGTGTCGCTTGAAGGAGAATGTTCCTCAAACGAGAAAAAGACCCCACATAGACATACATAGATGAGCAAGTTAAATCCACTCCCACTATAATCTCCTTGGGCGACATATATTACTGTTTTCATTCGTTTCTACGGCCCCATGGTAGGTTATTATGCTAGGGAAGCGGAATAGTTAATCACTATTTAGCTCACTGCGGCGCTAAAGGGCGTACACATCCTTTTCTTTTTATCTATTATCAACTATTGAGTTATTATTGAGATCTTCAGTGAAGACATACATTCACACCGTTGCAAAAACGAACGCTGGCTCTCGCTGACACTTTTAGAGGCACGCCCAGAGTTCAAAAATTAGTTGGGCGGGTCAACTACTGATGACTAGGTAGCAAACGATTCAGTTGTGAAGAAAACAGCAGAAAAGAAAACCGGCGGAAATGCTCCATATAGGAGCCCACGCTACAACGCGATCGTGTGTGCATAAGGCGAAGACTGGGCGTGGTCGGACGAGCTCTCACTTGTTAATTCCATCTCGTACTCCCTATCAAATCACTCACACCATCGAAATGAGGGGTCAACAGCGGAAAACCGCACTATAAGGAAGCCTTGAGGAATGAAATTTGTCTGCTGCCACGAGGTGACCGCGGTCTCGTCGCGAGTGGATCACGCTTCCTACAGGTATTCGCCAGCTGCGAAAATACAATAAAATACATCCTCCATGCCTGCGAACAGTCCTACCTTTCCAAAGGAAGTGTTTGAACATCAAAAGAACGAGAAGCGTCCCTTCACATCAATAAGAATGCCCCAAAACTTATGCAAGCGACTCACTTGGCCCGTTCTCTCAGTGGTTCAAAAATCCGAATAACTGCCACGAAAATAACCTATAAGACTCTTCTAGAGTTCCCCAGTAAAGGAAAAGCACACGCCAGAACTTTGCGTCGCCGAAAACCTCTTCTAGCCACATTCCACGCACCATGGAAGACGCAAAAGCTAAGGCACGCAAACTACTTACTGTGCTGAATCAGAACATTCAAACAGCTTAAATCCAGAAGAGCGGCCATTCTTCTCAACTTCTACCCCCACCGATGGATCGAGAAATGCCGTCAAATCAATGAACATGAGGAATTGCTCTGACAGCATCGCGAACGCTACATTTTGCCAATAACCTTTGAGAACCAATTGACTTTAGCCTGACTCTATGTAATCAGCTGTTTTCAGCGAACCGGACATCGCAACTAGATGTAGGACAATTGAAATATTTCCGTGGAATATATTTCGCATACGAATGCAAGAATTATTAATGGTCGGTAATAGATAAAACAAGTACTGTTCTAACTTGTGAAAGCAATAAATAAGAGGATAATAGAAATTTTATAAATAATTATATTTGGTACATCATATAATAAATACATGTTAGTGCAACGGCAATAAACTGAACAATGACTGGTAACGAATTGGAGATGACTATGCTCAAAGTTATTATGGTGGTTCGAACGATCGGAAAGAGATCCCACTAACTGCGGATTATGAAATGTTACTAACTGTATATCACAGCCTCCAGACAAAATGCTATGCGATATAACGAATAGAATTACTACTATGTACAATTTCTACTTGGCTTCTATAACGCTATTATGCAAAAGAATTATTGTGCAAGGGTTCTATGGCTTGGATAACTTAAAACAGCAATGCAATGGTCGTAATCGCGGCCTATGAATGAGACACAGCCAGGAACTAAGGCTCCAATAATGGCACCTCTATTGCTTGACAATGCACACGCTAAGGGCGAAACACCAGGGAATAGACACAACCGGAAAAAGAAGAGGAGAACAACGATTCGAAGTGACTTATACTCAACAGTAATCTTTGGAAAGATCAAAGCGCTCGCGTTAAGTGACAGTGAAGGTCAACAGCCAAAGAAAAATAAATAAAAGAGGAAGAAAGGTCAATACACCTATTTAACGATCAACAAATACTCTTGCATAGGAACGAAATTTTTCTAGTTTTTCCATTTTGTACCCTGAAACTACACAATGTAATAAAATCAATAAAAGTAATCAAACATTATCATCATACCGTGTTATTCAATGCCGCTAAAGCCTTGTAGGCATCAGGAGTATGCGGTGTTAGCTTACTAGCATATGCTGACAATCTGACGCGATCCCTTTGCGCTACCAAACATTCGATAACAATCTGAAACGAGCCAACGATGGAAATGGGAACAAAAATGAAGAGGAGCCACTGAAAAAATCGATCGATAGTGTCCCCGGTAATAGCGTGTAATTGAAAAAAACTGTCCTTATTAACAACATGATGCCCCGAAAGACTACCGGGTTAGCGAAGTCAAAGTACCGACACCGTTGGCCTTCTCTCCCCTCCTTTGGCCGACTTCTCTGATGGTGGAGAATGTGAAGAATGCAGGAAGAAGTGGGTAAACCGATGACGTCGCTCCCTGACTCCGCCCACCTGGCAACCCCGAATGGTGGCGTTGAAGGCAGTGTACATGATGGGAAGGGGCGGGCTGTTACTGCCAAGATTATTGGTGGAAGGGCTAAGTGAGGTGTGGTCAAACGCTCTACCACATCCCTTCCGCCAATGACGTTGGCAGTAACCGCTCTCAGCTATGGCCCCACTGCCTTTACACAATGTTGAAATGTGCTATACAAAATGACAAAATACTGGATGATACATGGTAAATTATCTAACCTCACACACGTCGTACTTCTCTGCGAGTTTAAGCCGTTGATCAGAATCGCTGACAGCACGTAGGATTCGACAAGACAACTGGAAACATATGACCATGTTACCAATCCTTCAATACACTACAAAATCGCATCGCTGAACCTTACATCTTTAGGAGGCGCTGTGGAGTTGAAGTACAGAATGTGGAACAGGTTCTGCCAGCTAAACGGGCAAACCAACTTCGGCGAATTCAATGTGGCTGAAACACGAAGCGCATATAAAACAAGAACATAGAAATCGTACAGTTGGCCCACTAATGAAGTTCAAAAGCCCCAATGTTGAAAACTAATTCTAATCTCCAGTATGAGTGCTGTATCGTAACAGTATAAAGGCTGGGCAGAACGTAGGTCGAAAAAGGTGGGAGGAAAGGCGATAGCGCGTTCCCAACACATCCTACAGTGTAGTACTGATAAGGAAAATGATAACAGAAAAATGCGGGAATGATACGAGCAATCGGGATTCTACTGCAGAACTTCGACTAAACAACAGGGCTGCAAAAGACTTCTAATGGGAAGGGCACCGGTGCAAAGGTAAATGATAAGTATAAAAAGATAAACATGTAAAGGATAAATGGGCGCAGCTCGGAGACGGGAGGGGGGGGGCGACTCTCTACACACCAGTACCGATTTACAAGTCTCGGTTTGGCTAAAGGGTGAACATTTGTGTAGCAAGCCTGTCAAACCACCATACTAGAACCTGTCAACTCTTGCAAGCTCATGAAATAGCACTCTCGATGCTCGTGCCCTCCCCCATCGCCGAACTATCTCGTTAGAAGTTGCGATGAAACCTACCTCTACTCTGAAGAGCACCAAGAAGAGATTTTGGCTGGAGAACCCTCTCAACATCCGGCCATCTGAAGGAATAAGCTTAGAAATGAAGATTCGGAACCGATAGTAGTACTTTCAAAAATACCTGCTCTGCTTTGCCAATGCACATACGTTTATCCAAACCGATTCTTTATCTGTCAGCCGAAACAAGCCTTGAATAGCAGATGGATTCGAGAGAGAGTGCTGCGAAAAAAAGAAGACTATAGAGCCGCTTCAGTCATGTTATTGGTAATACGTGTTTTTGACAGCCTATGCTTCACAAACAGATATGAAATTTTCAAGATTAAAGGCACGCTCCGCGTTCGCTTGAGTTTCGGGCACCTTCTTTGAATATGGTAATCCTGCATGCTGTGGTTTGAAGGTGCACGATTCTGCAGCTCGAGAATACGTGAGGTAAGTGCCCGCGACGGAACCATGGCTCCCCGCTGAGCGCAGTGACGCCCAACTTCCACTTTTAAATGCTACTTGATGTTGCGGTTGTACTGCTTTGTACTGCTATTAACGGTGACACCAACAAGTGAGAACTCCCGACCACGTCCTTTCTTCGGCTTATCACCAGCGCCAGGTATCAACATGTGAGGTTTCATGATGGTCATTTCAGAGGATAGTTTTACTCTGGCTTTTCAGCATATCTGTGCTACTTACCATCTGTCATGAGTACTTAAAGGCAGTTGGCACGATGGTTTCCTACTCGGCCTAAAATGCTAGTAGGGGGAAATGGCGAAAGAACAGAGTGAAATGCGGTCAAAATCCTGCGATTAAAAAGCCTCCGTTCTCAGAGACTTGAAAATCGATTTCGGACAAGTTTCCTGTAGGCATCTTGCCAATCCGCTACCGAAGATACGGCTGCATAAGAGTACTCATACAGGGGGGCCAAAAAAAGTCACTTTGCTTCATTGACTTTCGAGGCGCTATAAGTTACACTTTATAAATCTGATCGGACATTTCTACCACCATATTAAAGAGCATATTAAATACTATTATGACACTCCGCCACAGCCTTCTGGAGGAGCGCCATCGAGAGATTCTGGCACGCAACCGCGATGTGGTCCCTGAGATCAGCGAGATAGTCGATTTCTCCGCCACCGTAGACCCCATTGAACTCCGCCCGAACCGGGTAATTGAGGGGATTCAGGTCAGGTGACCTACTTGGATATTCCATCTTCTTTAGGTACTCAGCCCCCTTCCATTCCAGGTAGGCGAGAGTTTCTCAACGCCCTTCGATTCCACGTGGTGGCACCCAATGCTGTAGCAGTACAAAGTTTCCAAGAAGGTACGGGCGACGACATGTGGGAAGATATTCTTCTTGAGTTGGTCGATGTAACCGCCAGCGCTCAGCTTCAGCCCGGGGTCCACGAAGAAAATATTGGTCTTTCCATTCCAGGTGCGTCCGGTCCATACCATCAACCCGCGCCTTGGCGACTGTGTGAAGATGATGTCCTAGACCGTAGCGACTTCGGGTCTTCTCCAGTCAGGCTGCGACTGGAGATGACTTCATATTTTGGTGTACATGAAGGTGATGGGCGAGAGCCAGCCTGCTTATCGAGGAACATCTTGGGTATCTTCCGCCCTGGTACTCGTATCCACGTCTTCTCTGCGAAAACTTTGCTGATGTGACTCGGTCGAAGTGACTTTTTTGCCCCTCCCCCCTGTATATCCATGCAGCATCACGGCCGCTTCATACCAATCCCTTCGCTTCATAATTTGCTTAGCAAATGAATGAATACGAGCGTCAGGAACGGTCGTCCATTTGTGGGCGGGCGGGCGTGGCGGGCGTTTGGGACGTAAAGTTGTGGCTTGATAGGGCCCTTATAAGGGCACCTTCCTCGGGGAAACCGCTATGCAGCGCCTGCCCAGGGTCGCGGAATTCTATCCTGAAAGGATAGAATTCCGCAGTCCTGGGCAGGCGCTGGATATACAGGGGGAATCGTCTGCGATACCAAGCGAAACGGCTCATCTGTGCTGTGGAGTGTATTCCTTTCCCAATGGTGCTTTTCTTTGCTTCTAATTGAGGTATTTATCGTGCCAACTGCCTTTAAGCCCAACAACTGGCCAATTTGACAAGCAGAACGTGCTTAATAGAAAATGGAAAGGAAAAGAGACGAGTTTTGTGAAAAAAAAACACAAGCGTGAGCGAAAAGGAAGAAACCATAGAAGCAAACATGAGGGGAACTGCCAAGAGGGGAGAGGGTGGAGGAAGAGTACTTCAGTCAGCATTAACCATACCACATCACAAAGGGTGCGTTCAACCCTACGACCGGGAATAGGAGAACTGGCGATTCGATGACTAGGGAAAATGGGCGCCAAACAAAAGTATTGGTATCGATCTAGCGTTTGGGGAGAAAGGGAGATTAGGAGAACCTGAGAATTGACCATCAAGGAGAATACGCATCAAACAGTGGACGGGCATCGCTCGGCGCTGGTGGCTAGCGAGCTAGCGATGCGCTTGAGGAGAACGGGCGTGTGGGTCCAATGATGCCCATTCACTCCTTGGCGCGCCTCCTCCCAAAACGTTGATGCTTCTACTTTCCCAGAACGCCACATCGAGACCTACACCTTCCATGACACGCGCTCTCTCTGAGCCGATTCTCCTATCCCTTTCTTCCAACGCCGATTCTCTATGCTTTAGCCGCAAAGTATGAAAGCAGTGTGATGCTACGGGCACATAATTTCCAATGATCAGCAGAAATTATATACAGAACACGAGAGGAGAATGAAGCAAATAGGAAAACTTACCATTGGGTCATCGTAGTGATAAAGACAACAGTAGTAATACGTGGCAATGACAGGTTTTCCCACAAGAGATGCATTTTTCGGGAATGCGGAGAAAATGGTATTTTTGCTTTGATCATCAGCAGCCTTAAATACAGTAGCTTTATTGACAGTCTAAGAAAAACCTTGTGGCAAAAATGCACAAAGTAAACCTCATAACCCACATTGATAGGCATTTGCCGCTCTAAAAGGCTGATATAGTCAGTGACAACGGCCGTTTCTGCACCCAGCGTGGGATCACTGAAGCCACTCCGTACACATTTCTTCAAAGCCTGTACCTAAATTTGATCAAGTTCCACTCCA